AAAAAAGCCCCAAACAAAGCACAAACCACAAATGCTCTAGGAAAGCCTCTTTGAGAAATGTTCTACCTTATGAAATATTTTACACATTACTTTCTACAGTCATTACTAGCGTGTTTCAAAAGCATCACAAGAATTGTAGTGCACAGAAGGTGCTCCAGCACTTGGCTCTGTATAGCCCTGTTTCTGCATTCATCCCACAGGGTAAGGGAATTTATAATAGGAAAGAAAGAGCAGAACTTTTCCATGCATAGTTCTGGTTGTGGCACATGCCAGTGCCAGGTTTGGTGCACCCTATCTTTCATTTCACTTCATACCTTTCAAGTTACTTTTAACAGATACAAGTAAAATAATCTTAATATGGATCTAAAATATTTCAGACTATTTCCCTGTGGTGAATTGGTTACACTGCCTCATGCTTCGTGATCCTGCTTAAAAAACTACTGAAACTGATAAAACCTCATCACCCTTTTTGTTTATCTATCTGCCCATCTAGAGAATGTTATTAGTGGGCCCTCCAGCAAAAATAACATACCTGATACAACTGAAATTGCAAACAGACTTTTCCATTCAGTTGTGATACGCAGGTAACCAAGTGTGGAATTGGATCCACTAATCATAGCTAATTAGAGGGCGGAAGAAAACTGCCAGGAATGCAACACTGTGTGTGAAGTTACACAGAACAGCTCCAATCTGAGTTTGGCTAATACAAGGCAGCAGCTTGATGACTCAGACTCTGGACTTGGAAAGAAAACATCTGTTCCAGCCAAAGGACGAACCTCAGTATCACTTTTGCTATGAACTGCAGCGGAAACACACCTGAGACCTTTTTGCAATGAGGAAGTGATATTGATGCTAGTGCATTATCAAAATTACAGCATCATTTATGTCCCTACTGTCCCACCCAACCTGAGTCACTTTTCACTACAAAAGTTGAACAGATTAGCACAGCCAAATCTACTTTTCCAGGTTCCCGATGAACTCTGGCATAGTGTTGTGATTTTATTTCATAAATGACAGATGTTTTCCATAAGATTTTGGTCGTGGGAGAGGTTAATTCTAGCACCATCTGGATGAATCTGGCAAAGACTTTTGAAAACACTGATGTGGCTAAACCCCAGATCTGGCTCCATCCATTGGACCAAAGAATCCATCAGAATGTATTTCTTTAAAAAAAGAAACCAAACGATTTATATATAGGCTCCTGCCATTGAAAATTTTGACCTATGTATTTTGCAAGTAAAACCTAAAAATTTTTGTAAAGTTAGGCTGGCAAATCTATACTTATGTGTCTAAGTATGTATTTAAACGCCAGTTCCAGATCTGTTTCCACGAAAAAGTAGACAGAGACCTTCTAGAATAGAATGAGCAGCTTTGCTTATAGGCAGACACCATACCAGAGGCTTGTCCTTCCAGTCGCTCTCCCACACTCTTACCTCTCTAGCCCCAGGAATCCACTCACTCATGTGTTAATGAAAAGCAGGAAGAAGAAAGAAAACTAGCCTTAGCCAAACAGTAAGCTTTTGGTTTGCTTATTGCCTTAGCAATGCTTACTAACATTATACAGTAACACGGTTCCCAGGAGATTAAGGTTTAAAATATTTTGCTTCCTAACAGTCTTTCATTTCCCAGATAAATATTGTGTTAATGGAATAAAGCCTAATAAGTAAGTTCTTCTGCATGTGATGATTAAGAAGTTATGAATTACTTGGGCCTTTTGGTTATCAACATTTGCTAAAGTGAAAGGTCATAAAAATCCTGTGTTGTCTGTGCTGATCTCTGCTAGAGGAACTGTGTTATGAGGGGCAATTTCAACAGTGGTAAAGCTGCAAAGTTCTCCCCAGCAGAATCCAGTATTTTTCTTATTTCTTCTCTGCAGAGTGGTTCGGTATCAGCCTGAGTGAGCAGACTTTACAACTTCTATTCAAATTGCAATCACTTATCAATGGCTCTCCTGATCTCTATCACACCTGGGACATCATCACAAAAAAGAGCTACTTCTATGAAGGAATCGTAGTCCCTGGTAGCAAAAGGTGGGAACAAGCCTCTGGCACAGGTCCATGTAGGCCAGGTAACTTGGAAGATGCTTTGGAGCCAGTATTGCCCCTTCTGTGGCTGAAGAATGCTACAACTAGATCACATTGGACCACTTCTGTTATTCCAGTTGCCAGCAGCATGTGACACATCTCTTCCACTCTGCCATGAGTCAAGTTTGTCCCCAAATCTGAATCAGTGTTGATCCTAATCTTGACTACCTCTAGCAGTCTGTCTCCAACCCTTCCTGGCTACTTCATAACTTTCTCATGATGCTGCTGATAACAGCTGTCAGTATTTGGGACTACCAAAATTATATTACAGGCAGGCTGTCCTAAAATCTGTCAGAAAACAATCCATAAAAGTCTATTTTCAAAGGCATAAACTCTGAAAAAGGAGCATCACACAATTTTGAAGAGGCATGAGGTGGACACAGGCACTCAGGATCTGGAACCTCTCACAGAAAAGCCATTTGGATAAAGGTGAACTAAGTCATGCGCTTCACTTAGCAATATATGGCTGCCCATCTATGAGTGTAGACGTAGTTTTCTAAACTACCACATTTCTCTTCTGATCAACAGTGAAAGGGATTGATTAAAGTTACTGAACAGATTATATCACATAAATGCACTAAGCTCTGCTGAAGGCAGAGTGATTAAAGCATTACGCATGTTGGCTCATCCTTAAGATTTGTTTTATAAAATAAACACTTGTGACTTTGTCTTCTGAATTTACCCTCTGTTTTTCATTCAGCACAGGCATCACAGTAGTTATACATTTGCTCACGTTTATAGATATTTTACTACTATACAGCTAAGCACACCCACTGAATATAAGAATTACTTTGAACAACAGAAACATTTAACTGCTAAAGACAATAAAAATGTTGTTTTCATGAAGTGTTGTGTGTCACTCTCTTCAGTGCATAGAAATCAGAACTGGAAAGAACTTTCAAGCCAATGAGCTTCTCTCCTTTATGTTAATTAATCTAGACTTTTGCCCTGCCAAGATTTTTTCTATATTATATTTACTGCCATTTTATCCAAAATGAGATAAAGACATCATAAATTACAAAGCTCTAGCACTTAGTCTGCTGGATAATATCTTCAGTCTCCTATTGTCGGGAAGCTTTTCACAGATACCCTGCCAAAATGTCTGTGTTATAAATCATTGGTCAGAATAGCAAATACTAGAAACAGAAACATACCAAGCAAGCTTCTTTCCTTCTTTCACTATTTCTGTTTATAATGCAAATGAATCGAGATCAAACTATTTTATATACTCTGATTCTTTCATAATGACTTGGGGGTGGTTATGGACCACAGTGCTCCTAGTCAACAGCTCTAAGATACTCATGAAGTAAAGGGCTTACAGAGTCCTGGGACAGCTGCCTTTTCAGGTTGCAAGCACCTTTTATGCTTTGCTCATTACCATCTTCATGTCATGTATACACCTACAGAGCACATACAGCACTCACATCCTGATGTATAGGATGAGCAGAGTGATGTGATGGATAGGCACTAGCATTTGGGACTGAGTGGTGTGCATTCCTCAGCATGTCAGTACATAATATGCGTAAGAACCACAGTTCTCACACCACCACACTGGCCGGGGCACAGGATTCAGTGATTCAGTGGACCAGGTACCAACTATAGGGTCTGGGACAGAAGACCTATGACAAATGTGAGGTGGCAGTCAGAAAACTGACTCTCATGCCCAGACCATGCAATCAGACAGATCTGCACATGTGCTTTGTAGCATGGCCTCTGAGTTAGCTCAGTGAAGGCTACCTTCAATTGCAAAGCAAGGTGGCTGCATAGCTTGGAAGAGAACACAGAGAGAAAATTTTAGACAGAAAGGTATCAGTGGGATTTTGGCTACCAGCTCCCATGGGATCAGGATATCACCTGCCCAAGATTTCATCCTTCTCACTCTAAACGCAATCCACTGAAAGATGCTGCTGTTTCATCCCCTTTAGCTTTTAAATTATCCCATTCCCTTTAGTTATTTCACTTATTCAATTCTTCACTTAGGTTGTGCACACATGGGTGTGCTTGATAGATTCTCATAATGATCCTCTTAGGCACACTGCTCCTGTCACCATAGCAGGAATACCAAACAGATAAACATAAAAATGAGCAAGCAGATCCAGAGGCAAACACTGGCAAATTACTTGAGTGAGAAATTCCCATACCAAAACTCTTTCAAAGGTGGAATGGATCTCGACACTTATTAGTTAATCTTACACATAGCTGTTTCATGTTAGGCCTATGCAGCTATTTCTGCAGATACCTTGGTTTTCACTGAATGTATTTAGTCTTTTCTTGTTGGTAAATTCTCAGCCTGATAATCATCCTCCCCACTTGCTGCTAGCTTTCTCTATCCACATCAGCAGTACATATATCAGATTTCCTTATTTCACACTGAAAACTAGCAAGCCTGGGACTTTAGAAGACCATTTGACTTTGTTTATGATCCTAGCATCCAAATACTCTATTAAAAACCTCAGTGTACGGGAACTCCTTACTGATCCAACCTGAAACAGGACGGGGGTGGGAGGGTGGGGACTGAGGGAAGAATATTTAGCAGAAAATTAAAGTTTGAAAACTGCAGAAAACTGGTTTGGGAATTACAGTGAGGTTTATTTCTTACTGTTCCATTTAAAATCTTGGCTTTTTACTGATAAAAACTGGAAAAGGAAATTCTTTAACAGAAGAGTGGATGAAGATGATTCTATAGACAGCCAAATTGTTTTTGGTAAAACAATTAAAGCATATTGTTGTATTTTGTTATCCATCTGAACTGTACTGACAATGATACACGGATTATTCCTTTTCCTGTCCTGTCATCCCTGCACTATGGCCACAATGGCACTTACTCAAAAAGCTAAAATTTTACTAACGCCATTTCAAAACATGAATGACCTTCAGGGCTTTCCTTTACCTGAAAACACAGTGTGGCCCAAACTGCTACTGCTCTGAACCTTTCCTGTCGGATCCTCAGCACACAGATGGCCTGAGGAATAAGAGAGTGAACCAAAATGTTAATCCAACCCCTTTCAAACAGAGAGGGCTCTCTGTTACACGTGCATCCAAACTTTACATACTTGGCCTAGCTTTACTCTTTGCTAAGCTGCTAAAACATCAAGTTTTATCTCTTTCTGTTGAAGTAGCAAAAGAGAGCCATCGGATGGAGGGCAGGGACCAATGGAAAGCTGAGGCTTGGAAGGAGACTTTCTGATGGATATTGTTTACAGCTTTCAGTGCAGTTTGGTTTCATCTCACTGGAGCAGGAAACAACCTCTGAGATAAATATCTCCTCACTGCTGTCCTGGCAACACGGTGACAGCACCAGAGCACTGAATAGAGGCCCAGGGAAAGGTAAGTCTAAAGGAGAATGCTCATCATAGCATACAATGTGTAATTACACCACTCTGGAAGACAGCAAATTTTTATGTTTGAGTAAAATGCATCATCAATAATCAACAGCTATAACTCTCCACTCACACTGTGCTATTGAATAACAATGATGCTCCACTGCAATAGGTCCAGCTCCCTTGGTTTTCACTGTCACTCTGAAATGCAATATATTAACATAAATTCTTCTGTTTATATCATTTTTCTGAGGGTGAATATATTTGCAGATTTTCCTCAATATGAAATTAACTCTACTTACGTTCTGTACTCAGGTTTCATACACAGGGTCTTCCCAAGTGCGACATCTTGGAACATTTACACACGTCAAAATAGCAAAAATAGGGCAAAAATTCTTATGAGCACTTGTCCTTTTTGTGTGAGATTTATCATTCTCATAAACCCAGGATTATTTCAAAGTTAGGAAATTTAAACCCTCCCTTTAGTTAGTACAAACTCATTTATTTGCTGATTTTCCAAAGTAGAGAATACCTTTTATTTAATCGATAAAAGACTCAAATATTTAAAGCACAGCTAACATTGACTGCCATCAAGTGTCTGATGAACATAGACTTCTTGATTAAATCCTGGATTCAGTACTTCATATTAGAGAGCACCTTCTAAAATTCACATTTTGAATTCAGTATATTCATTTCTGCAGTGCTCCAGGCACAAAAATGTCTATAAAGGCGAATATTTAGCTTTCACATCACTCCTACTTCTTTGGAACTTTAATATTTTTATCATTAATATCACACCAAATAGAAATTAAGAGACACAAATCACAGTAAGTAGTTCAGTTAAAAAGTGGTCGCACATAATCTTTGTTTAATATAAAATAGAACTTATTGAAGCATATGTATCCTATGTGCATAAAAGGAATATCATAAAAAAGATGCCCAAATAACATACATGTTCAAATAAATGCAAACCAGTTCTCATTTATTTGGCAATTTTCTGTCAGGAACATATATTCCCTGGGGTTTCTCAATTCTTATGCATTGGAACTCAGAGCTCAGGATGAGAAATTCTGAGTTGGTGGTTCCCAATTGTTCATCTATCTTTTTCATTCCACCACTTTAGGAAATGGATGGACTTAGTGCATGAGCAATACACTACCTGGAAATTCTCCAGAAGAAAATCTTGTTTTGATTGATAGGGAAGAAGCTTTTATAGTTCATACAGTTACTCTGAGCAGTTACATAGCAATTTCCACCTGCAGGTCACTATAGAGGTTGACAGCTGATGGGTATCAATTTTCTCTATCCAAGTCTCCTTGTGATTGATTGCTTCATGCAGAAACTCCCTCAACACTAAGTGCAATCACAGTTCAATACCAGCTGCAGAGACTTCCCTTTGAGCAATGCCCCCTTCCCTGCTGAGCAGTTCCTGTGTCAGCAGCAAGAGGTGAGCCCCAGAGATCAGCACTCACAGAGCACCCCTTGTCAGGTCCTCAGTGCTCTGAACCAAGAGCTCAGCAAGGTCCCCAACACTTATCTGCGCTGCCTGCCTGACTGCCCCAGGTTTTACAAACATTATTTGTTTTTTACTTTTTCTGCTTAATGTATACATACACATAGTGCCCATGAAATAAAAATTGCTCATCTGGGTGCCTCTGCTCTCATAATTCATAACTTGAATAACATTAGTGTCAAGTTTGCTTTTTGTGACCATTCATCCATATAAGAAGCTCACTAGCAATGAAAAGATGAGATCAGAATAGCAAATAAAAGGCTGAATCGGATTATTTTTGTTGTAATGACCCTGTGTAGTGGATTGAGTGGCCCAGCTTCCTTTGCAGAGCCTGTTGTCATACTACCAACCATTTTCTTGCTACAGTTGCAGTGCAACTCCACCAAAGGAGTATTATCCCAGTCTGCTCCCATGGTCCCTTCCATGTCACGCTTGAAAGCTTTAAGGCGGCAATGCTATATTAAACTGTGTTACAAAATGTCACTGGTTGCAGAGTACTGGTAATCCCACCTACCCCAGTAGAGCAGGGTGAAAGATTCCAGCGTGAGCTGGGCCCTCGGTATGGCCTCTTGTACAATGACGTACATTGTACAAAGCCATACGTATTATCTTGTCTCTAGGCTGAAACAAAAATATAATGCATCAAGAGAAAGTCTATTTTTCTTTAAAGGTGCGCATTCACTCTGTTAATTGAAGACACTGGAAATAATCCAGTAATTGGTTCTTGCTGCAAATGATTTATTGGGCATTATAATAAACATAACAGCTCTTTCTGCTTTCAGTCCACAGCTTTTCTCACCTAGCTGCTACTGCTAAGCTAATTGTCCTTGCTTGCAAATGTATTTGTGTTGTACAAGCCCTTCCATTAATGCTCTGAGATTAAATGTCATAAAATTCGATGTTTCAGTAACAGATTTTTAGTAACACTTGAAAATGCAGTACCTGAATTACAGCAGTGGCTGCAATGGTGCACCTGTAAATATGATACCTTGCCCTGAAGACAGAGTCTGGAAGTTTTTATTGATCTTAAAAGCTTCCATGTGGTCTAAACTTAGTGTTATGATAGCTGTAGTAAATTCAGCAAAGAATTTCATTGCAAATCACTTCACCATCTACAGCTAGTACCAGAAAAAGACCACAGTATATATGGTTACCTAGACCAAGGTGAACCATAGTGCAGATACGAATGCACCCAGGTACCAGCTTTCATTTTTTGAATTGCTGCTCTTCAACTGAGCTACTTTGTACCCTCTTAAGAAAACAGAGCAGAGATGAAACAGCATCATATCACCAGGATGCATTTAGAAACTATCTCTGCGTCTGGAAAAATGCAGTGTTATCTGCCAAATTAAGCATGGCTCTTTCAAGGAGACAGTCGACTCCCAGCTGCTGGAGAAATGGAACACTTATATAGGAGATGAAAGAATGGTGAAAATATGTTTATTGTATTACCCAGGACCTTTTTAACTCATCTTTTCATGTGTTTTCATGAGGTCCTAGTAAACTATTATGAACTGGGGCACAGGGTGAAATCAGGAGCCCACCCAGCCCAGACCACAGTACCTCAGAGCAAAACATTAAAGAGGAGACTGAGTCTCCACTGGCCAATATTCCTTGCAGTACCTTGGTATGCAACCAGGTTGTTTTATTGAGGGTTATGATTACCATCTGCAGCAGAAGTCATACTGCCCATCATAAACTGAAGGACCTGAGCCCTCACTGGGGACTCAGAGGCTGGCTAAACATGCTGCTCCCTTACATGGTGCCTCCCTGAACTATCTCCCTTGCTCACTGCCTCTCTTGCTCACTGCCTGGCCAAGATGCTCCAGCCATTGTTTTCCAGCTTCTCTGGCACTTTTTTGTTGTGTTCTGTTGTTCAGATACAGGAGTATCTGTTCAGATACAAGTTACTGTTGGAAAGGAAAGAGTAAGAAAGTCACAAATACTATTACGAAACGGTAATTCTGTTAAGAGCAATCGAAACATTCAGCATCACCAACCACAAGCCCCAACCAAACTTCTGCTGGAATACGACCCTGTTTCTCAGCCCAGAAAACAATATTTTTCATCAGCTGAATTAATTCATAAGAAGCATGAATGCAAATATGACATTAGGTAGGGAAGCAGATGTATTTGGTGACAACCTTACACTTATGAGAATCGTATAACATAACATTTTATTTTCAACTGTTGTTCCAATAATTGCTTTCAGATATTGAAAACTGCTGGTTTGCACCAAGAAAATAAATAAATCTGGAAGACATGTTACCATATTGCCCTTTCCCCCCTCATTTTTAGAATAGATTTGAGGGTTTAGATCATTCACAATGGGAACGAAATCCTTGCATCCCCCAAAAGCTACACATGTAGCAGCAGCATTCAAGGTCACATATACACCCTGAGTGAATAAAATGCATTACCCTGACACTTGAGTTAATGCTAATAAAGACTCACCCCTTCAAGACCCTTGATATTCCCAAAAGAGGTACTAACTTTGGCCATTTTTCATTGCCTGAATCACACAGCTCAAATCACCTCTTCTTTCTTCTTCTCAGTCAACTATTAAAAAAAAACAAAAACAACCCAAAGCTTGAAGCCATCTACCCCTAATCCCATTGATTATAATTCAGTTCCAGACTAGTGAATAAAAAACAATACAAGAACTAGAACAGGACAGAATGCTGGCCAGGAAAACTACAAATCTATGAAAAATGGCACTGTTCAACAGCTGTCCAGATTTAATTTTAGGATGAACAGCAGAACACATCACCTCTTGTTCTGCCTAGCATTGATTTACTACTTGCAGTACTAATTTAAATCATTTAATTTGCAGAACTTTTAGGTCCATCATCTGTTCCCACAGCTGAGTCAATACTGTGGCTCAGCTCACAGAAGAAATTGATCTGCAAGCCACCCTTTACAAGACAGATTAATTTTTGTCCATTGATTGATTGGCCTCTGTCCGCTACACATACTTATTTTGGACCATTTAAAGCTCATAAGGTTTTATATTGAGATTCATTGATTTCACAGAGTAATAAAATGATGAATGGGTGCTCAGCCAAGAGCAGAACACTGATGCAAGCTTGAGGGGAGAGACCCAAACAACCCCCACAGAGTGGAAAGTGCAGAGTTGCAATGCCCCCTCTGTTTCTGTTCAGATTTTCCCCAGGTGTTGGTGGTTCACTCTTCCAACCCATGCAGACTAAAGCAATACTTAGGGCAACATCAGGCTCTTTTAGCAGGTCTGTGCCTCAGGGTGTGCTCTGTTCCCTCCCAGCCTAATGTTCAAATAAAGATCTCCTGGTTTAAACACAGCTGGAAGGGCCAGCCTGTCCCTAGCTCCATCATCGAGGGTGACAATAGACACACTTTTTACAGTCTTTGCTTCTGTCTCTCTTATCATTTAGTGGGACATATTGAAGGTTTTGATCACTCTTTATGATCGCACAAAATGCTTTAAAATCACACATCCTTCCTGGACATCAACTTAAGTATTATCATGATTGGGATATGATGTCATATACAAATGCAACACACAAAGGTTACACAGGTAACAAAAATGTTTTCCTGATGAAATACCATATCTTTAAAAGCATTTTCATGTGAAGAAATTAAGACCTTTGCTGATGTTTGAGAAGGTTTTGTATTCATTATCTCCTATAATTTCCAGCTGACTGAAGAACTAATCTCACCATCCATTTTTGTGTAGTCAGCCCCATTGCAACACAGCTGGAAACACAATCCTGGTCTTTTACTCAGTGTTTTTTCCAGGTAGGGTTTAAGGTGTTAACAAAAACTCTAGCATATATAGCACTGGTAGTCACTGCAGGATACCAGTTGAGACTACCTCCCTTCTGCAGCTGCAGTTCAGTTTGCCAGTATGGCTGAAAGACTGTTTTCCAGAGGGGGAGCTTTGTTTGGATCTTGTATCTCATAAGTCTGTTGTATTGCATGTGCTCCAGCTTACAGCGTTGAGATGTGTGAATTATGTCCAGTCTGGTCTTTGTGGCTTGGCAGCATTGTGTCGCACGAACTGAGATATGTAGTAACAATTATTCTCTCTTCAGCATTCCACAATATTTTATAGTAAAATATCTGGAAGCCTAGAAAATTAGCAGCATCACAATTAAATAATAAACATATGAAGGTGGAATCAACTGGCACCTGGGCACATGAAGTACATCAACCACAGCAAAATGACTCATCTCACATTCCACTGGAATCTGCAGAATTCTTTTAGCTCAAGGGACACGAACCCAAACCTCTTTCTTTCTGATGGTTTTAGTGTCAGGATTTCTTTTCAGACAGTCTTTCAAGTACTTTGTATGCTCTCCACAGAAATCTCCCTGGAAGGAGATTTCTCACTATATATAGTTCTTATAAGCATGACTGACTCATGCAGGTCTCCACAACATGCTGCTTCAGTTTTATCTTGTTGCCATACCTTATGTTTTTTTGAACTACCACTTCAGCCCACTCCAAATTCTACCAAATAGCTTCAAAGGAGATAAATGGCCAAGGAGGAAAGCACTTCTATTCTGCATGACACTTTGCAGATGAGCAGTAACTCTTTTTTGATTTCATTGCAATTCCTCTGATGTCTACTTCAGGATAACTATCTGGCTCTTTATTTTCCTCTTCCATTAGAGACATATGTATACATTTTGCATTTAGAGATTTTGTCATGCTGGAAAACAAATCTCCCACTCAACATCATGCTGCTTGGAATGCATTTGAAATTGAACTTATTAACCAGCATATCTTTAGACTATAGCTGTTCCACTTAGACAATCTTTACAACTCCAACTGAACTATTAATTGATATTATTGCCTTCAAAGTTCCAGCTTTTTGTAGACACAAATACAAAGGAAAGATGCAGAAGATCCAGAATTAATTAAAAATAGCAGCAGGTTTTCATTTTCAGCCTGGCACTTGTAACATTTTAGGATAACTGTACCATACTGGCTGAGTGTCCCAAGAATATATGAGCTTATTTAGTATATTAACAATTACATTGTCTTTGTGTGCTCGGAAATTAGAATACTTTCTCAAATAGAGGCTCTACAATTATTATCAGGACTCCTGGGTCTGCCTCAGAACCTGCAGTTAGAATGTCTTAAACCCTGCCAAAACGTTTCTCAGCCTCTTCCTATTAAAAAAACAAAAAACAAAGACCAAAACACCAAGTCGCATGTCATGTGCAGCATCAGCATCATGATACCCGTTTATAAGCAAGTACAAATAAATTTTCTGTTCTAATTTATCAGGTTTATTGTTACCCGTCTTGCTTGTTTGCTGGTTGCATGCATAGGAACATGTGTGTGCAATTTACAAACATTTCACAGGCTGTGTTTTCCTGTCTTGCAGAAACACAGTCACAACCAAAAGGCACTGAAGCCTGAGTGTTATTATGCTGTGAGCCAGCTACAAAGTAGAGACCTGGAAGTCCAGGAGTTCCACTGCTGCAGTGCCACTATGCAGACCCCCCGTTTGGATGTATGTGGGAAGGGAGCAAGAAGAGTTGAAGGCAGCTGCTGCTTCTTTCAACACTTCAGAGGGATTTATGAATCCTACTGTATTTTATGCTTAGTCCTGCTTAGTTCTTTGTTCTTGAGGAAGCCAGAAGGTAGAGCTGGGACCCAGAGGGATTAGCGCAGCAGGTTGACCTCCTGGCTCTTGCCACTGCTCACTCCAGAGGAACTCTTGCCCAGGGTAGCAGCCCAGCATTGCTGCCCCAGACAGGCTGTGACATACATAGGTATCCACTCTCCCTTTGGTGTGCTTGGGTAACTGGTGTCAAGCAGGAAGAGGTTTTGTCCTGACACTATAGTAATGCATTTACCCAGGTCTTTCCTGCTCTCTTCCAGATCTGACAGCCTCTAGCTAGGTGGGGGAAAAGCTTTAGTTACACCTTTTATGATTCACACTAAAGCATCTATGATACAACTAAAGCATCTAAAGTAACGAGAAGAATAAGACATATACCATCTAAGGAAGGAAAAAGAGTGGTATCTAAGCTGTACATTTCTAACAGGTAATCTGCTTCTCACCAGGGTGCTTGTCAAGTTTGAGAAACTGACACACACGGAACAGACCTGAAGCATCAGCCTGGCTCAAGGTCACGTTGCAAGAACCTTCATCCTTCAACAAATCAAATGGTAAAGATCTACCACCAGCAGGAAAATCCCCCTTTACAGGCTGGCAGCCAAAGGAGAGAATCTGGTGTTTCCACTGCAAAGCATGAAGGAGCACAGAACTCTGTAGGGACTATCCCTTTTGGCACAGGGAAAAAGGCGCTGGCCCTGTCAGAATCTTTGATGTAAGAAAATCATAGGAAAGACTCATTTAACCCTTCCTCTTTATGAAACAGCAGTAAAAGAAAAGAATGGGGGATTTAGGGAAAACCAAGAAGGAGGTAGATAGTAGTTATGGGTCACAAAAGAAGCTCCAAGATGGTCAAGACTTCCTTATTGCATATATGTGCTTTTAAATTAAGTTCATAGAATATATTACACATAATTTAGCATATAGACTCTAGTTGTGCACCAGGGTGTGTACAAATAGCTTAGTATCGTGCTGGGAACTGCCTGACGAAAATGGAGCAAAAGCAATATTGTGGTTCCCACCACAAGGCTCACAGAAAGCTATGCTCTTCCATCCTGGCTATGCCCCCTGGCCTCTCCAGTCCTGTGACTATAGCTCCCTACTTTAAAAGGAGGATATTTAATTATAGCTGGATATTTTAAGTTCAGGAGAGAGGAAGGAGGCAGAAGGAAACAATTTTAAAGATAAAACAATACCCTTTTGTTTATTTTTTCTTTTATATAGGAATTCTATTGCCCTGCTTTTATTTACTCTTACTCTAATTTAAAGGGACATCTCTATTTAAAACAAACAAGTAAAAAAGAATCTCTATGTACTACCAAAAGCTGAGAAAACAGAAAAAAACAGTGCTGATAAAAAAAAGCAGTGACTAGTAAGACCTCAAAATACTGTCACAGATCAGGTAGCTGCCTGGGACTCAGGGATTCTGTGTTTTGCATCTACTTATACCACTCTTTTGCCACTGGGACTTCTGGAAGTTGTGGTAGTATCACCAGCCTATTTCCTGAATTGCTTGGAGACCATTGGATGAAAAGCAGAAAGAGAAGGAATATCATTAAAGGGGGGGGGGGGTCTATTTTTTCTTGTTCCCTTCCCCAGCTCCCACAACAGTATGATTTGGCAATAGGCAAATAGAGAGGATTATTCACCCTAAATCCCTCATTAGACAGAATAAATCATCAGCTGCAAGCCGTATGATAAACCATGGCCCCTAGCACAAGAATTACCCTTGAGACAGATGAATGTTTCTGGTTGGAGATCCACTGCACACAGCCCGTTTCCCAGCAGGTTGGGTTGCATCCCGTCACTTAAGGCAGCAATTACTAGCATATAGTATGCAGAGAGCATCCTGGGAGAGCCTTCAGGCTTGCTCATGCCATGGGAAATAATGTATTGATGTTGAGGCTGACAGAAAAGCACTGTAACATCTGTGGTGTGCTGTGGATTGGGTGCCGCTGATCACTGGTGTGGAATGAGTGGGGTGGGAAGGGCAAAACAAATGGTTTCCATGGAAAGCTCTCTTATTCCATGTCAAAGTGAAGAGCACACAAGTCTGTGCTGCTCCTTTGCATCAGTCCCAAAGTATCCGCCCTATACACATGCATATGTAGAAACACCTGCAATGGGGATGGAGATTTCCTTTTGGTAGGGTCTGCAGTTCAAATTTAATGTTTTCATTTGAAAACCGGTAAAGCTGCTATTAAAGGAAATGTTTGTGCTATAGTATGGCCACGACTGGAAATCATGCAGAACAGTTCACTGCTTTTTTCTTTTCTTTTTTCCTTGTTTTCTAATGCAATTACTGCAGTGCTGTAACTGGCTGTTTGAACCCTTCCTTAACCACTTCAGTAATATCCTACAGCAGAAGTCATCCTGCTGAAATTCACAGAACTGTTTGTGGATTTGGATACTGCTTAATAAATAGCCTTAATAAATGACCTGAAGTCAAATAACTTTCCAAGTGGCAAAAATGTTTTCCCTGGGCACAGACCTGTAGTACTGGGGAGTTACAGGCTGGGGAATGTAACAGAAACTATCTCACAAGCCTTGTTATATAGTTGCTATTGCAGAATCATGAAACTATGGATTAAAAATTTGTCTGGATGGCTTTATTCTGCTTTCCCCCCTCCTGTGAGTGCATCAGAAGCAGATGCAATAAACAAGGAGGAATATTTATCACGTTCACTCCTTTAACAACATTGGAATATTGGCTTTTTCTAATAAAATTACGATGTAAATGTGATTAAATCCCAAGATCTAAAATGATGGAACCAGCGCAGAAATTCAAAGCTATGTTATTAATGAGTAACATTTGCACAGTTCTGGACCAGGTAAGACAGGGTGTATGTAAGGTCTCAGAGCTTAAATCTGCATTTTATCCAGAATTAATTTCCTCTAGCCACAGTCTCAGCAGCTACATGGCTATTTCTCTGCAGTTGAGAAACTCTGTCAATCTGCAAATGTCTCTTGCATTGGAAGAGTGAAAATGGGCAGATTTCCATACTAATGACATAGTAAGGAACTGAAAAAACTGTAGATCAGGCTTTATATTGTCATAGGTATTACCAGGATAGCATCAAAAGTTGGGCTGAATAAAAGTTACAATTAAGGAAAGAGGAGAACCAAAATACACTGTCATTATACTTAAAAGTACCTTCACTAATGCAGCATTCAAAGATATTTACAGGATTGTGGGGTGGCAGCTAAATTTTGAAGATACAGTTTTCTGTGATACTACGATACCCTATGAAGATACAGTGCTCTATTCTGTAAATAGGAGCAGAATAGAGCTGCTTTTTTTAAGATTTAAAAAAATCCTGTATTTCAGGGGTTTTCAGGTAAAAAGAGGAATACAGTCAAACTAATCACTAGATAGGAATTCATTTCTCATTGAAATTTAGTATGTGTAGCTTATCACTCAATCTCTAAAACCAATACATAACAGAGACTAAATATACTTGATCATTCTGGGAAGATAGCACAAAAGCATATACTAGAATTGTTTTTTTTCAGACACTCAGGTAATGAACATTTCATGCCACCTTCTGACAAGGATTTTTCTGACATGATTTTTTAAACATATAGCCTACAGGACTACAACTGAACTCAAAATCTAAAGGAAGGATAACTTCTTGGGTGTCTTTAGCTCTGCCAGTAACAGCTGGTGTATCTCTACCCTGGAAGCCCAGTCATCTGGTCCAGATTTAGAAGCTAACAAACAGATATCAACATCTGAGTTAGTTATCCAGACTCCCTTCAGTATTGGGGAGGAGAAAGTGGCACTCCTAAAGGAAAATTCATTCAATTTCAGACTTCTACTTTAGGGGGAGAGGAATCATCCCATAAAGGTGTTGTTTTACAGGCAGGATATAACCTGGACAAAGCACTCAGACCTGGTGTATACATGACATATATCTTAAGTTAGAGGAGATGAATTCCACCATAAACATCTATACCCAACATCTCCCTAAGTACAGGAGGTTCATGATTAATTCTTCTTGAGGGGAACATTTACAGCTGGCAAGAAGTCCAGCACTCAGTGTTTACGTACAGCTATTACCCTCCCAGAGAGAGAAAAGTAAGCAGGTCAAAGATCAGCTATGTGCATTACACATTTCACTGTACTGTGCTATTCCTATCTGACATTTCACAAAACTCCTTTTGAGGTCTTCTGGGACTACAGTCTTCATCTGGGGCTGAAAGAGCTGTTCAATAAGATAGGAGGCATCTGTGATTTTGAGCAAATCTATGCTTTGGCTCAGATGCACCAGAGTTCTGGGATACTGACAAGCAGCACGTCATGGCCTTCTGAATCTGGCAGGTGTCACTCACAAAGGAAGCTAAAAGAAATGCTGGCAGGCAAGTTCACAGGTGTAGCAGAGTTGCCTCTTGGGTTCAGCTTATAGGAGGTGACAGACAGTGAAATGTAGCTGAAGAATAGAGCAGTCTCCTTTGGGAAAAGCTATCTGAGAGAGCTTTCATCAACAGAAAGCATGACTCTTCTCCACATTTCAATCTCACTGCTTATTATTCTATGGAACTTTCTTGCCAAAAATAACCACAAAAGGGTCAGAAGCTAAGCCAAAGGTCCATCTAAGCACAGCTAGCATTTACTTGTTCACTAAGTTTTTGAAAACATGCACAGTACCAGGCGGGCTCTGACAGCAGAACTTCAGCATATGGAAATGAAAATCCGCTTTTTCAAACTGAAAATAAACACAGCATGTTCCGGTGCTTGATTTAACTGCAGGCATTTCTGATTCTTCCTTTTGCATTCTGTAAACCGATATCTTAAATTAGAGTAAGGGTGACAGACAAATCGGGCTGGAGAAAAGGGAGGTCCCAAATCTCAGCCTCAACTTTGCCTCACATAGTTTCACAAAGCAGGCAGCAGCCAGTGCTTTTCTTGTGTGTAAATATGCGATATAGGCAGCACTTAACTGACTATAAAGTATCCCTGCAGTCATGTGGCCAGTTTCCTGCACTGTGAGGAGAGAGCCTATACTTCTCTGGAAAGTCCTAATAAAATAATGGATGTTCCCTTTGCTTCTTGCCAACAAAGACCTACTTTGTGAACACAGCTGAAGACCTGGGATCTTCATAAAACTCCCCTAAAGTACGAGGGATGAGTATGGTACAAGCCCTCTGTTGCAGTTTTTATCACAACACACTCTTCTAGCAGGAAAAAAAAAAAACAACAATATAGGAAGGCAGTAGAAAACACTAAAGCTGTTGATTTTGAAACAACCTGTATGGAGAAGAACACTTTTCGCATGCGTTGCAGTTTGTTTCTACCAGAAGGGTTATTTTAGCAAAGAATGCACATAGTGAGCTGGACCAGGAACTCATGGCAGATGACAGAGGGAAGCTAAAAGCCATGACTCTATGCTGACCACAATCCCCACTGACTGAAGGTAGCACATTCATAAGGAGCAGAAGGGTTTTCCTGTGTGAGCCCACTGTAATCATTTTTCCCTCCAGATGCTGCACAAGTTGTGCTCCGAAGCACCATGCAAATGTGGAGCGAAACACCACAGCCAAGAAGACAGGCTATTCACCTTGTTGTACAGCAAAGGACATGATCTATTTACATTTTAGTTCATCTTACTGCTTGGAAGATGAAAGCGAGTTTTCTGAGAACAAAGCTTTGAGTAGTGACTTCCATTATTAATGAAGTCTGGAACAGCAAGCATTCCTGCCCATCAGTGAAATTACAGAGTAAGACAGTTTTGAGATGCAAAAATCAGTTCAAAGTATTAGTCAGATTTGAGCAGTAAAA